TTCTTTCTTTCTTTCTTTCTTTCTTTCTTTCTTTCTTTCTTTCTTTCTTTCTTTCTTTCTTTCTTTCTTTCTTTCTTCTTTAAGAAAGAGTCCATCTAGTGACACCAAGCTCCAAAAGAGACACAGCATTTCACATATGGTTATCCTGAAATGTGTCAGCAAGCAAGCTGGTAATATGAAGACATTTAGATTGTTTTTGAAGAACAACTATGTGGTCTATATATTGATTTGGTTGAATTTCAAATTCTTTTTTCATCAGATTCTATGATTGTCTTAAACTCTATATAGAACCATACATTGAATATTAGTTATATCAAAAATTTTAAGCATTTTAGGACGCCTGGGTGGCTCAGTTGGTTAAGCAGCTGCCTTCGGCTCAGGTCATGATCCCAGCGTCCTGGGATCGAGTCCCGCATCGGGCTCCTTGCTTGGCAGGGAGCCTGCTTCTCCTTCTGCCTCTGCCTGCCACTCTGTCTGCCTGTGCTTGCTCTCTCTCTCTGACAAATAAATAAACAAAATCTTTAAAAAAAAATTTTAAGCATTTTAATAGTATTTAGACTGAAAATCATAATTTATGTGGCTTTTCAATTACCAGAAATTATAACTCAGTATTTTGTATATAAATTGTTAAAATTCTGAAGCTAAAAACTTAAGAAGTTATAAATGAAATACATTTTAAGGTAAGTAATTCCCATTAATCATATTTTAAAACACAAATTATATTATTTCTTACAGACTATAATTAGTATGGATGGCAGACATCCTTAATTACTCAAACATTCACACTGAAATCTGTTCTAATCCTTAGAGATATTGAATTTGCTCTTTTGCAGGAGGGCAGGTGACCCATTTTTTAGACCTTCCCTTTGCTCTCTTCCTTCTATACTCTTACCCAAATAACCATGTCCTTACAACTTTTCCTCTAAGGCAAATATACCTTCAATAATTAAAAGTAGCAGTATGGCCACAAATGGTGATATACCTTCCAAGAACAAACCTAATATCATTAGAACTATGGCAACCACACTCCCAAACTGGAGGGGCAAAGTAGAAAACAAGAAAGAGCTACATGAAAGCATATAGCTACCTGACAGAACCAGTCAGCATAAGGCACCTCTCAGATAATAAACCCTGAAAAATACGTGAGGTTGGGCATAGGGTTCCCAGGCAAGGTAATTCTTCTTTTTGCTCACAATTACCCCATCTATTTCTGTCATTGTTCTTCCTCTTTATATGTGGTTGTTTCCCCAGCCAGACTATATGTGATTGAAGGCAGTAACTCCTCATCATTTTATCCCCAGTGTTTCTAGAATGAATGAATAAATTAATTAATTTAACCCAACTAGATGTATATTATGTATATATTATCAGATGTGTGTTTTTTCAGCATGGTTTTTTTGTTTGTGAAGTGTAGTGGGAAAAGAACACTAGCTTGTGAGTCAGACTTTCTTTCAATCTATCATACAGAATTATTTATGGATTAAATAAGATAATTTATGTAAAATACCATATAGCTATCAGCATATAGAAGGTGTTCATTTAAAAATAACTATTATTTATTCTAATTGTTTTGGGGGAAGAATGTCTGGTTAGGTGAAATTTTAACAAAAGGAACTAATCTTTGAAAGTTGCCTGCCTCTTCTACCCAAATGAAGACTGCAGAAGTTACCTTGGAATACCTTCTTGCTGGGGGCAGAATCACTAGCATGTTCCATCTTAGTTATATAAGTTAATGGCAAATTAGGTACACATTGATAGAAGATTTTTTTTCTTTTATTTCCTTGAAATGGTTATACTTTCTTATGTTCTTAAAAAGAAAGAGCTTATTCCTAAGAAAGGAGTCTGCTGGTAACAAATGGAGTGAGACCTCAAAGCCTGTTACTTTGCAACTAAATCTTATTAGAACTTCTGATAGACAGGATAATCCCCAATGAGAAACCTATTGGCAGAAATGTCACAAGGAAGGGCTCCTGGGTGGCTCAGAGGGTTAAGCCTCTGCCTTCAGCTCAGGTCATGATCTCAGGGTCCTGGGATGGAGCCCTGCATCTGGCTCTCTGCTTAGGAGGGAGCCTGCTCCCCACCGCCCCCCTGCTTGCCTCTCTACCTAGTTATGATCTTTCTCTCTATGTCAAATAAATAAATAAAATCTTCTAAAAAGAAAAAAAAAGAAAAAAAAAAGAAATGTCACAAGGAGCCCCATGAGGGAAAAAGGACTTTAGGCTGATGACTGTGGCTTAACACAGTGCCTGAATTCTCCTAGGAAAGTCTGGTTTTCACAGGATGAAACTCCTCCTGACACATGCACAAGGGGCCAGGAATGTGATTAGAAACAATAGCTGCAAATTTAAACTACAGGGATGTAACCCAGAGAACACAAGCTTGTAGCCCCCTTTTCTGAACATGACTTTGGAGAAAACTCCTCCAGCCTAGGCAAAGATCTGCACTGCATCTAAAGAGCTGTACCATTTGGATGGAGGTTCACCCAAGTGGCCAAGGGTAAGCATGACATTCAGAGGGAAAAAACCTCTTTGATTTCTACTACATCCCCCCAAACTACTGCCAGACCAAGAATGACCTAACCACTAGACCAAGAATACCAGTATAACAGTGGACCACCTCTTAAGCTTAATAGCATATGGCAGTCACAAAAGATTGACAAAAGTAGATACAAGTCAGTACACTGTATCTTTATCCATGAGGCAATTTGAGGTAGAGGCCTTCCTGCTTAACAGGGTAAGAGAAGGCTTCCACAAGTAATTATAATATCAAAAAGAGAAGTACATTTATTTTTACTTTGTCTTTGCCAAGGTACTTTACTTTTATAAGCAAAAGAGATCACTGGAAATGTACCTGGTGTGTAGGTTTGATGTTGGGAAACTTGGAGTCAATGCCTGAAGTTTGAAATTCAAGGACTGTGCATTCTACCTTTTGTATTAAGTCCAAAGTAGATGAATTCAGAAAAGTCTTCATCTAGAACTTTGCCAGGTTGTGAAAATGATTAAAAAGTGGCAGATACGGAGAAAAATAGATTTATTCTGCAGACTTGGTCCATAAATAATACACTCAAATCTTTTCTTACAGTTAAGATACTAAATACAGAATTGAACTCATTCTTTAAAAATAAACAACAAAAGGAGAATAATAAAATAATAATAAGACAAAGTAGTGGAACTTGACATTCAACCAATCCATTTCCTAAGAAGCATGGATCTTAGTTCCTTACTTAATTTCAAAGATTGAAGTGACAACATATGTAAGGACAAATGTTAACAGAGAAAGGTATGATGAGAAATTTTGTTCAAGTGTTCAGAAGATAAAGGAGTTCTCTTCATCATAAATCTTACCAGGGAACTAAAAAATGACCAAGAATATAGTGGAAGAAGGATGGAATCAAGTCATACATATATGGTTGTATCAGAGGAGACATGTTAAAATTAAATCCATTCACATAAATGTCAAGTATTACCTAGTTGTGAAATTTCTTACTGCTTTTTGAGATCATCCATTATATATTGAACTTCCTTGGATTTTGTTTAACAAGTCCAGATTAAATAGCAATAATTTTAACACATCACAACTTTCATTAAAAAGTAAAAGAAATAGAAGCCTGAAGAACCAGAAGAATGTTGGGGAAAGATGGTCTCTTGAAGATATGGCTACATATTATTTTCACTCAAATAAAATAACTCCCCATTTGAAAAGATAAGTCCAATTTAGGAGTATATTTAGTGTACTTATAATTCTTCAAGTTCATTATTATTCCTTTCTCTTTTTTTCTTACATTTCCCAATTCAGAAATAGTCACTTATATTATTAATATATTATTTATAAGTGATCTGGAAAATGGAGCAAAAACTTCAAATACTTTTTTTCTAATTTATTTTTCTTATATTTCTTTAATATAGTTTTCTACATTTCTCCTATTTCTCAAATAAATACTTTTCAATGAATAAAATGTCATTTTTATAATTCCTCTAGAGTAGAGTTTGTATCTAGAATCTTTAATTAATATTGGTACATCTGTTCCTGGCATTCCTAAAGAAATACCAATGCCAATAACAAAGCTGTGGACTGAAGCATATTCAGCCATAATTCTCCTTAATATTCTTGAGAATGGAGAAATTTTTTCTCTATATCATGAAAGAAGTTTGCCAAGATTATAAAGTAAAACAATCATCTTATCTCCACCTTGTTCTTCTCATGTAGATTTAAGCCTAAGTAAAAGGGAAAATAAATATAAATGCCCAGGAACTGTACATCCACTTATGCAAATATCCCCTTCCCCACTAAGAGAAAATTCATCCATTCAGAAAAAACAAAAACAAAAACAATCAGTCAGAAGGAATTCAGAATAAGGACCCAAGGACCCCCAGCTACATAATAAAATGATAAGGTTTTGTTTTCTAGGCTACAACTAGAAAGTATCTTTTCCTAGATATACAACCCTTTCTCCGTATATCTTCCTCCCTCACCTCTACCTTCTGCCTGTTTACAGAGCCAGGGAGAGTAGGGGAAAATCAGGCTCAAAGTTTACTAGTTATTAGGTGTTCCATCAATGTAGGCAGAAGC